ATAAATCCGGCTCGAGACCCATCGTCCACAAAAAGAACGAAAAGGACATGAAAATCGCACTTGTTCTGGTGAACATTTCGGAAAACCGAGAATACTTCCACGCGTTTTCAAATTCCCGCCGGACATCTGTCACAAATGTTGCAGCAGAAACGCCTCCACTTGGTTCACGGAGTGCTACCACTAGGAACTTTTTTTGACCTTTTGATGATGCACTCGCAGTACTGCATCATATACTACCGATTGTGGGCCTCTGTTCACCACAATCGAACGCTTCAACCATATAATTTCATTGCATCGCCTGATACGTGGCTGCCCCAAGGCGAACTTTCTTTGATGCCCCAATTGGCGCTCCGCGGCCTACCTTCCACTTCCATAAGTGAGGTTTTGATGAGTTTGTTTTCCTTCGAAACCGAATATTGGTGCGGGAAACTTTGTGTGTTGTCTCTATCACGACCGAAACATCCATGTTGGGAAAGAATGCCTGAATTTTCTGGGAGATTCCTTCAACTTTAGGACAGCATAAGGAGAGACCTCCTTAATACTGTTCACAAAATCATTTAGTAGATTTGGGATCACCGTCCTAAGGAGCACGTAGGAATACACCTCAGTCCTAAATGATCCTATCGGTCTGACAGCCTTTTCCTGTATGTTTGTCCACTGTATTTTGTCGCAACAAAAAGCTGAGTCGCATCGGTTGCCTTGAGCTTTGTAAATCTATGTGTGTTGCGATTCTGAAAAGTTTATGGAGCACAGCAATCAGTCCATTGGAAAATAGTTAAATCGAGGGATCACCATAAGAATAGCTTGGTTCTTAGTGAAAGTAGTGATGCTGATTAATGCCTCAGTGACGAAAAACAAAGAAATCCGTCAGGAACATCACCAGGGGACCCCTTTCCTTGTCCGTTGACCTCCGATTGTGGACGAGCCAGCAGCCAACTAAAGACAAGGGGTCGCTTGTACATGCTAAGGACGAATTTACGATTAGAATGAAGGTCGAAGAAGGAGTAATTCACCTAGTTGAGGGACCCGCGGACCTCCTGAGGGTGCGAACTGAAGCGCAATTGGCACCGAAGGAGTTGACCTCGGCGACCTATTATGGCTCAATCTTGGCGCGGTGGCGAGTGCACGCCCACCGATCATCTGATCACTCGCCGCAGGTCTATACGTGGCGAGTGATTAGATAGGTGAGAGAGCGTAGTGTTGAAGAGGGCACAGCGATGAGAGTCGCATCAATGCTCAAATCAACGGGCAAGGAAGGGGTCCCATTTCTCGGGTTCTGGGCCGTTTCTCATGGTTTTCCCTTCTCAAGTGTACCACTCACCACTGTTAACTAGGGAAGGATGAAGGGTCGAAGTGGCCATATGAAATGAGACAAGTATCATGGTATGTGGTTTCGGACGCTGATCTCGAATCTTCTTCCCAAATCTGCCAAACGATTCGCTGAACGGAGTTACGGAGGTTTTTCGTTCCCTCACACAGTTTAACCCTTTGGCGACATTGCGGGTCGATGTTGGGATGCAGCATAAAAAAACTTCACAGCGCATGTTCCAAGTTTCTAGTAATCACACCTTGCTCAGCAGGCTTCGTGTCACCTATAGACACCTTGGTCCGGCGCCAGCGCCATTTGGCGCCATGTTGGCGCCACATGGCGCCACGCCCTTTTTTCCACCAATTACGCTGTAAACTTGGGAACAGGGGTAATCGGTGGTCCTGAGCATGAAAATGGCATCCGTTTTCTGGCGCCGCGCCATTGGCGCCAAGAAATAGATGCTATATCTGTGTTTAGGACCGCCGATTACCCCTGTTACCAAGTTTTCCAGCGTAATTGATGACAAAAATGTCGTGGCGCCATGTGGCGCCAACTTCACGCCAAATGGCGCGGCGCCAAAAAAGATGCCATTTTCATGCTTAGGACCACCGATTACCCCTGTTCCCGAGTTTACAGCGAAATTGGAGGCGAAACAGGTTTTGGCGCCAGTTGGCGCCAATTGGCGCCACCTGACGCCAGCGCTGAAAACTACTGCTATATTCATGTTCAGCACCCTTGAATACCCCTCTAGTGAAGTTTCGTCTCTGATGAATTTTCACGACCACTGAGGTTATGTTAGTCAAAAAGACTGTCATCTTGGACAATGCGTCCCAACGTCGACCCGCAAAGAAAAATGCGCGCGGTCCCACATGGCAGACACGCGAAAAATGGCATTGTCGCCAGCGTGTTAAGACAGTGGGGAATCGGCCTCAGCAGCAGCGGATCGTGAACGAAGCAGTGATCCTACTTGATCGGGTGCTGGTGGCCTAGTGGTTAAGGTGGTGGGCTTGGGATTTCGGGGTCAGTGGTTCGGATCCGCCGCGTGTTTTTCCTTTTGCATTTTTGTGACTGACTATTTGGCAGTAGTGAAACATGATTCCTTCATCATTGGTCAGCCCTACTTGCTTTTGGATGAGTTTGAGGTCGATAACTTCGAAATTTTTCCTAACTTGCATGCCACTACATAAGGTTAAGGCGCGCCAGTATACGGAGCGCGCGCTTCAGCCGTTTTTGAGTGAACGAATGTGAGATCTGTGTTCAAGTAGTCCAATAACTCCTGGGGCCGATTTCTAGAAAAATTCGAGATTTTGAATTAACTTCAAAAAAAGTGGGCGAGTCACTCATTGATGCTACATATCCATAGCCGGTAGTTCCAGGGTTGACCTATTTTGGACGACGGCGACCCTTTAAATTTGAAAATAATAAAATGTGGGTGTTGAAATCATGCGAACAGAAAACCAGACACTGCTTTACACTCTTCAGAAACCAAAAAAAACTTATATCGTCTCAAGGCTATATAGGCTTCGATGATAGGCTGATGGATGAATGGATAGATACCCACCCAGCTTATTTCGAAATTTGGTCGAAATCTCAAATTTGGCTACAAACTTGTCCCTAGGGGTATTTTAATCTCCGGAACACGAATATCACACTTGTTTGCTGCAAAAACGTCTGCCAAGAGTTCTGTGGGCTCCATGTGCAGTCTTTAGTAAGTACCGCCGAAACTGATTAGAAACTCCTCGCAAAGTCTTTGCACGGGTAACTACAGGCAAGCATTGATCGAGTAAGGTAGTTGGGAGCCTTTTCAATCATTTTGCACTGAAGGCAAAAAAGAGAACCAAAGGTGTAGGTCTCTTCACATATGGCCACTTCGACCAACCATCCGTTCCTGGTAAATTAATTTGAAAAGGGCTGCCTTTTCAGCGTGAATTCGTCCTTTAGACCGGTAGCCACCGTCCTTTCGGCAAAGACAATGCTTTGATTTGAGACATTTACAGAAAAGTTATAGAATACCGCCACTCGAAGTGGAATATCTTTTAGAACGATAATTTGAGAAGGCTTTTCTGTCACTGTCGCGTGAACTGTTTGAAAGTGGTGGGCTTCCTTTAAACGTTGGGTCCCGCCACTATTGAGTCGCTGGTACCTAGTTCGACTCGCTGGTGCATCGTTCGATTCGCTGGTGCAACGTTCGATTCGCTGGCGCAACGCTCGGATCCAGCGATTCGCTAGCGAATCGCTCGATTCGCAAACTATGACATCGGCCATAGCAAGCTCAGTGCGCTGGAACTAGCTCACCCGCCGCGTAAACACCTCAACTCGCTTTCTCGGCTACTGCTTCCAGAGTAATACTTCTATGCCGCCACACACACACTTTATCGTAATCACTCGGTTCGAGTGCAGCTTCGATGAAGAACACATAACACGAACTTATGTGTTTCACCGTTTCCAAGTGGTTCGAGACAGATCGCGCGCTAACAGATAAAGAGAGAGTAAAAGAACTCAGAGCAACAAGATTATAAGTTAAGGAACATAGGATGTATACCGTAACCCACGTTTGCGTCAGAGCGCGGTTGCAGGCTTTCCAGTGCACAATGCCAGCACTAGTGTGAGCGGTCAACGACGCCGCCCCTGCTGTTCGGGGCAGCGAACCCAAAAATGGAGCGACGTCGCAGCGTTCGCCTCGCCGCTTGCGCGACGAAGCCGAACACCGTCGCAGCGTTCGCCTCGCCGCTTGCGCGACGCTGCGCGCGCTCCGCGCGCGAGCACAGGGAGGTGATCCCCGGGGTGCCGCCCCATCCGACGTGTGGCGACAACCGCTCGCGTTGTGTCCTCCACCTTCTACATAAACGGCGCATAGTACTCTGCGCGGGCCTGCTCGACGCATTCTCTCTTCGTTGAGAGGGTGCAGAGAAGACGAGAAAATCGATGACACGTGAGAATGCGCGCCCCAGTGCAACGTCGAGAAGGTTACGGTATACACCCTATGTTCCTGAACTTATAATCTTGTCTCAGAGCATGCATATACTATGACCAGTTAGGTGAAAAAGATAAGGGGGGGGGGAAGAAGGGAAACGGAAAAATGTCCGAACGAATCGGCTATTTCTAGTATTTTTTTACCACTTTCACTTCGTGCTTGATTTTTCACATTTCCCAGAAATTCGAAAAAAAAAACTTGTAAACTGACCATCTCTACCGCCACCACGCCTCTTTCATTTTTCAAAAAACAGCTCGGTAGCAACATTTAGCAACATTCACCACTTCAAATACAATCCTTATCGAGAAAAAACTCAATGTCCCGTCCCCCCCCCCTCTCGTTGAGAACTGTGCAACGCACGGTTGACTCTGAGTTCAAGGTATTATTTCTGGCGGTTGTTCGAAAATCGAAGCTTATCGACTGCCATTTTGAAAAAATTTTGTACGGGACTCTTGCGGGCTTTACATTCACGCAGCTCCAAATTGGGATGGCTGAGAAATAAAAGTTCCCGCCGGCCGAATGAACTGGCACATCATACTGGGTCCCGCATGTCTATTGGAACTCGTTCGAGGGTAACAAAAATTGGAGCGTGGCTTTTGGGTTTTCTCAACAAGACATACTATGTGGAGAGAGGGCAGTAATTCAAGTGGTGCAGTTTTAGGGATATTTTGATGTTTTTTTTTGAGTTTAGGGATATTTTGCCACTTTTGTGCTTCCATGCTCTCCGGTTTAGCCACTACAGTAGCATCCATGCCCGTCGATATCTTGAAGACACGGTTGGTTGCACAGTACTTCGATTCCTGTCAGTTGGTTCTACTAGAACATCAATTCAGAATCCAAGCAATGAAGATTATAGATGGAGTGCCAGAATATACGGGACCCATAGACGTATGCGTCAAGGTGAATTTTTCATCCGTGTCCTCCACAAATGAGTGTTGACTGTTAATTCTTTCAGCTTCTAAGAAAAGAGGGAGTGTTTGCATTTTGGAAGGGATTCACTCCTTATTATATGAGGCTCGGACCTCACACTGTGTTAACTTTTATTTTCCTGGAGCAGTACAATCGAGCATACGTCAGGTTTTTTCATCCAGAAGGAAGCAAATAAAATACGCTAGTTCTACATGGTAATTAAAAATAGTTGACAATAAACGCCTGCATCAGATGTTTTTTCTAAAGCCAGCTTTCACAGAATTCTGCAGTATGCAGTGCTGTCAACGTAATTTTTTTTTCACCTTCAAGATTGTAGCCAACAATTCCTTTGCTGCCGGCGGCGGTTGGTTCCGCACACTAAAGCGTCTGTGGCACGGGGATAAGGCGATATTGATCTGACGCCTAAGTTTTAACACGTTGACGACAATGCGCGTTTTGGCTTTTTTCACATCGTGGGACATGAGCTGCTTGACAGCCGCGGTTTCCGCGACGCGCAACCGCGTCTCGCTGTCCTACGAGGTGCGCTTTTCGAAACTCAACGAAACAAGATCACAGTGGGATCTTGGAGAGGGGATTGCATTCAAAACGTGAAGTAGGTACAATTTGACTTGCAACATAACTTGGGACGCATCGCTTCCCAAATGGAATTTGGTGGTTCTTCAGAGATACCTCATTCCATTACACATATTTATTCAGTGAATAAGAGTACGTAAAGCCATAACAAATGGATAATAAAGCCAATCGGACAAAAGACAAGGAGTATCGATCAAATGATCAAATGCGAGTAACTGAAGAATAATGGATTTGAACCCTTTTATTGCTTGGACTACTTGTGCTTATAATGGGTTCTTGCGGGTCCGCTGATGACCATCATACTATCTCAGATAATCCCGACGTAACAAGGCAACATGGACGGCTGTCGCTGCTACTCACTCTCCGTAGCTTCTCCTCCATCTCGCTTCTTTAGAGCAGCCCAAGTATGCCCGCATTCTTACGTAGGCGGTGTGCACTGCCCGGAGTAGTGGGTCAAATCGTGAACTGAAGGTTCATGACAGTACGAACACAAAATACGAAGTTATACAAAAAGCAGAATATTCGGCTGGATGATTCAAAATAGGGATGGTCGAATCATTGCTGAAGGTAGCGTGACGAATCATTGCTGAAGGTAGCGTGACTACATCAACACGTCAGTCTAACTACAACACTATAACATGACCTGGAAGGAGTTCCTCATGTTATGAGAAGATGGTGTTCCAGAGGTTACGCATCATTTTCAGAATACAGGGCGCTGCCTTGGCAAAAAAAAACAAGAGTAAACGTGCGTTGAAGTAGATGTAGAAATTCTTTCGCATTGAATCTTGCAATGAGAAGCGCAAGCCCTGTCATTCATAGTACTACCAGATTAGTCCCCCGTCAACCGCCGGGACCTTCCTTTCCTGCGCAAGCTTTCTATCCTCCGCTATGGTCCCTTCCTCCTGTGACACCAACACCTGGAAGTGACGCGTATGCAACACAATGGTGTTTCATACAGTAGAAGGGACACAATCATGATATGACGGTAGATTTTTCGCTTCCCTTCCTCATCCTCCCTTCCTCTCTCCACTGCCCTCCAGCTGCCACTGCAGCACCATGTGGAATGAACGGAAGTGTGCTAAGCAGGTGTTTATATAGCCCTAAGAGTGTTATCACAACTATCCTGCTACAAAACATTGATATCTCAAATCCTGTAAGCTACCCGATTTGTTAGCGGTTTGTTTATCCCATGAGCTTCCTTCTCACTCACTTCATTTTGCGGACGGACACACATACATACATACATACTCGCCGTTTGAAATCGAAAATTCACGCGAATAACGCGAATCCTCGTTAATTTCGTGAATTCGTTA